GGAGGTCTGAATAAGAACTGCAGTGCGATGTCTGCTCTGTCTCACGGATTATGTGATTCATTCGAGCATGTGCTCGGGCGTCTTGGCACGAGGACTGCCTCAATGCCGCAGCCAGCCAGCCAGCCAGCCTTCCCCCCTCCTCCTCCTCTTCCCCCTCCTCCTCCTCCTCCTCCTCCTCCTCCTCCTCCTCCTCCTCCTCCTCCTCCTCCTCCTCTTCCCCCTCCTCCCCCTCCTCCTCCTCCTCCTCCTCCTCCTCCTCCTCCTCCTCCTCCTCCTCGCCCCTCGATCCGTCGCGCCTCTTCCTCCCCCCCCCACGAGCGGAGGCCATGAAGCTGTACAAGAACCCCAACGCCGAAGACTCTGAGGAGGACTCGGCGGACGGCGGCGCGGGCGCGGAGGGGCCCCACCACGAGGACGCACGCCCGTGGGGCGCGGGGCGGGGGCCCGGAGGGGCCGCGAGGTGTCGGGCTGGGCGCGCGTGCCCAGGGTCAGCGCCGGCGCGTGTCCGCCGACCTCCTCTGGCTGGCCCCGGAGTTGGGAGCCACGTGGGGCCGATTCACCCCTTCGGGGGTGGCAAAGAGGGGGGTGATGACTAGGGGGGGGGATCTCATGGCGGGGGCCATGATATTTCCTCAGATTTCATGGCGCCTCTTCTTATTTCATTACGTCCCTGCCCCCCCGCTGGGCCGCGCACATGCCGCTGGTCATGATGTGCACCCCTCCTCTTGGACACCCCCCTCTTGGCCGCTCCCGACCCCTGGCTGCCCTCTGCTGACCGAGTGTGGGAGCAATCACCCATCGGTCGTTGCAAGTACGGTGGGGGCGTCGGTTAAGGAATGCGCCCAGGAGGCGCCAGACTCTGGAGGATTCCTTATCTGATAAGGGCGGCGGTGGCACCCATGGCCACTCCTCGATTGGAGCTCCGCGGGCTTCCACACCCTGGATTCCTTATCTAAGGGTTCCTTATCCAGTGCCCCCACCCTGGGTATTTTTTGATTCCCAGATCTCAATCTACTTTAAGCGCCTTCCTACTTCAATGATCGAGTGGCTTCACCTTGTCCGTCCTCCCATGGGGGCGGACGGAACCCAATCTGCTTCCAACGCCTTCGTACTTCATGTTTCTACCTACTTCTTCCGACCGATGGGTTAAGCGGCACTTGGCTTCGCGACAGGGCCCTGGCTGACACGGGTTCGCGCTGACTTGGTCAGTGCGACCCAGAGAGCGTCTGAGCACCTCCGCCATTCCTCCTGTTCACATCCCGCGGGGTCTGGGCAGACCTTGTGGCCACTCTAGCAGAATGCGCCCGTTTGGGCCCCGATGTACGGTGGGCCCAGGCACCGTGCCGTGACAGCGCGCGCGGTGACCCCGAAAAATCTCCGACGACCTCACCACACGGCCCGTGGCCGCACGGTCTTGGGACCTTGCGGGCTCCAGTTGCCCGAGACACCCTCGGAGAACGACCCGGGCCACAAGACCGTGCGGTCACCCAGAATCCCCACTGGTTCACCGGACGGAGTGGTCGCCGCACCGTTCGGGGGGTCCCCGAACCCAGATTTCCGACGTCATGACTTTTTCATTAGCGTCGACACCCAAAGGTCTCGACCCCTTCCCTGGGATCGGTTCTTCATCCTGAGTCGTTTTCCTGATGGTCCCAAGGCCTGGCAAGGCCCCACAGAGGCAGAACATACATTCAACAAATGTCCGTTTTGTTTATACTCGAGGGGGTCTTTGTCCTGGTGTCTCCTCCGGGCGGGGGAGGTCTGCCGGAAGGGGTGCCTCGGGGGAGCTGCTTGGGGCCTCTTGGGGATTTATCGGGAGCCTCTTGGGGGCCTCGTGGGGGCCTCTTGGGGCCCCCTGGGCGCCTCTTGGGGCCCTTCTGAGGCACCCCTGGGGAGCCCTCCTGGGGCCATCTCGGGGCCCTGTTTTGGGAGGAGCTCGATCCGAGAAGCGGGGCTGCGGCTCGAGCGGCCGCCCCGCCCTGCCAGGGAGCTGCCCCCCCCCCCCCCCCCCATCTCTGCGCCGCCCCTCCTCTGCGCCGCCGGTTCGGCCTGCCCGTCCCAAGGGGAGGCGCCACCGTCGTTGGCGAAATGGGCGCCCGTCTCGTTGGCGTATCGGTGGCAGGACGGCAAAGTGCGCCCCCCCTTCCTCCCGCATTTCCAGGTTGACGAGGAGCCGTGCCCTCACGCAGAAGCGGGCTCTTCATTTCGCAGCACGTCGCGCTCGCTCCTGGCGCACTCGTTGGCCAACATCGAGATGCGGGGCGCGGTGGCGGGGCGCTCTGGCCTTCCACAAGCGGGCATGCATGTCGCAAACGGCGGCGTCACGGTGTGGCCCCAGATGTCCCCGCCGAGGTAGCTCAAGGTGTCTCCATCTCGGGTCTCCGACGACGCGACGCGTGTTTCCAGCCGGGCGTCTTGCCTCGATCGGGCCTCCGGGGCCCGTTCTCGCGGGGCACCTTGACCCTGTCGCCTCGCGCGGCGGCGGCGCCTCAGCGAGGGCGCTCGAGGCCAAGAGGGCCACATTCGGCGGCCCGAGCCGGGCCAGCTTTGAGCGACCTCCGCTGGCGAGGCGTCTTGGCTTGCCTACAGGCCCGCCCAAGCATGTGCGCGTTGTGGTTTGCACCAACTGTTCTTGGAACGTCTCTTGCTGGGACGGTGTGGTTTTAACATCTTGGCTTTCTGTCCAAGATCGTCGCTTTTGCACTAGAGCATTATTGAGCTCGAGTAAAATGTCCTGGTAGGCCTATAGGACTGCCGTGACGGTCGGTCTATGCTCAAATTGCCAGATAGGGGGTCCCGACATCCACCGCAGTCTCAAACATCAAGACGAATCTGTTTCCCTGAGATCTGGGCGTTGCATTTGTTCCCCAACGGGCGTTTTCGTTCTCATATCGGTCCCCGGGACCATCACATATCCATCAGGCTCGAAGATGGGGCTCATGGCACCAGTCGCTCTTTTTTGTGACGCGACGTCGGATCTCATGGTTCCTTGTGTTCGGCCTCCAGGAGCTCTCGCCGGGCCTTGGGAGCGTCAAACATTGGCTCGGGATCTGGCCCTGGGGAAATGGTGGCCACTTCTAGAGACCCAATGTTCACAATAATCAGGACGTCGGATCTCTTTGGGGAGGTCGCTCCATATGGAGCCGTGCTTGAGCTGTGAGAGGTGAACGTCCAAGTCGTCACGGCAGGAGCCACACGACCAGTATGTCCGAGCGTTTCTCTTCTCTTCGTTGTTCGAGGCGCGTTCGTGACAGGGGCGCTTGCTGCCAGGGTTGGACACAGCTCCAGCAAGGCCTGGGCCCCGAGCGGGCGGAGCGGGGGCCTGTGGGTGCCGCGCTGCTTCTCCTGCGTTGCCCTCCCATCCCCAGAACTGGCCGACTGAGTTTTCCATGCCGGTAGTTTTGTTTATCAGTTTCAGCCTCCAGAGGCGTTTCTGTTGGTCGGCCACTCGCAGGGGGGTAGGGGGAGGGGGACGGATTCTTAGAAGCACCCTGCTTCTTAGAAGGCGCGGGCGCCCCTTCTAAGAAGCGTGTGGCTGCTTCTTAGAAGCTGTTCTTGGCGTGTCTCTGAGGAGCAGGTGGCTTGCTTCTAAGAAGCTCCCCCTGTATCTCAGAAGCAGTTCCGTGCTCTTCTCAGAAGTGGCTGGGGTGCGTCCAAGACGCGGTGCGCCCCTGGCTTCTCAGAGGGGCGGCCGGCGCCGTCCAGGAGGCAGCCGCCTTCTAAGAAGCCGTCCCCCCTCCCCCCCCGGTCCCCCCGTGTGCGCGCCGCCAAGTTGGCCCAGGGCCATGCAAAATGCATTTGAGATTAGAGGCCCGTTCGCGGGGCCGCGTTTTGCAAAAGAAGTAAGTCGCCAGAGGTCTGGGCGTCGTCCTTCTCGTTGCCCTCAGGACGAGGCCTCGTCGGACTGCAACTCCGAGATGGACGAACCAGACATATCTGACATCGACGCGGGCTTCACACGCTCGGCGACGATGAGCTTCGTCCGGACGGCGGCAACGATACCGTCAAAGGAGCATTATCTTTCTTTTCTCCTTCAGCCAAATTTCCATCCTTGTTCTGGCTATCGTCCTCGTCGTCGCCCTGTTTCTTCTTCTCCTCATCCTCCTCTTCCTCTTCGTCCCTCCCCTCCTCTCATCCCTCCTCATTATTCGTCCTTCCTGCTTTTCCCTTCCTCCCCACCTTCTCCTTGTCTTCTGCCTCATCCGCTTCTTCCTCCTCCTTGTACCCCGCCTCCGCCTCTTCTTCCCCCAAATCATCCTCTTCCTTCCTCCTCAGCTTTCCCTCCTCTCCCACCTCTCACCTCCTTCCCCCTGAGCCAGTTTTCATTATCCTCGTTGTCCTCCTCCGTTGCCTTCCTCGCCGTCGACCTTCTCGTCCTCGCCGCCCTCGCTGCGAGCCCGAGCGTGCGAGTGCGAGGCTTTTGCCGCCTTCGGTGGCGGCCTGCCCGGGGCGTGGCCCGGAGGTTCGGCCGCCAGGCGGCTCCGTCGCGTGCCGGTCGCGGTGACGTGGTGAGCGGGCTCCGGGGCAGCTGGGCGCGGGGAGGCGCGCGCGCCCAGCATCATGCCTTCCTCCTCTGGCTTCCTCACCCCTTCCTCCTTCGCTGGGCCGCCGCTGCCCGCGCATCACCGGCTGGTGGGGGGGGGACGACGAGGCCTCCTCCTCGTCCTCGGCATGGGCCTCCTCCCCTGCCGTGCTCCTCAGCCTCCCGCCTCCCCCGTTCTGCTCCCCCTCCTCCCCGCACTCCTCCTCCCGCCCTCCTTTCCTCGCCGCTCCTCACCACCTGTCTCTCTCTCTCTCTCTCTATCTCTCTTTGCGCCGCCCTGCTTCCCGTCCTTCTCCTCCGGAACGGCGCCCAGGGCGCTATCCAGCTCCCCATGGAACCCATAAGAGCTTCCCAGATCCCCTTCAGAACATCCCTCGAAGCATGTGCCCGCTTGCCCCCCACAAGATCCTCCATGCGCTTCTCCGCCTCCGCCACCCTCCCCCTCCTCCCTTCGCTT